GTTTCCAAATTAGTCCAACTTCGTACCTTTCCGGCATAAACCATATATCTCAGAGAGGTCGTATTTCTTTGGGTTGGTAGTAATGGAATGCTTTCATTATCTAAAATGAAGAACATTTCCCACCAAAAGATCAGTCCAATAATACCACTCACTGGTAAATAGCGCAATACTTCTTCGTGAATCTYCGCTATTTGAATATGGAACATCATAACAACGAATAGGAATGAAACGGCTATAGCTCCWATATGAACTACTGGGAAGATCATAGCAAAAAAGTCGAGACCTAATAGATGGGCTTCAGTGAACCTACTTCTACTTCTTAGAAGCCTATCCTGCTAACATCCTATCTCCTGCCTGCCACTACGCTTGCTGCCAAGACGTGTTACACTATCTAGAAGAGGCATGATGGAGTAAGGCTAGCTAGTGAGTGGTTCTTTCGGGCGGGAAGCAGGCCGGGCCCTACGAGCGGGCATCTCCCGCAACGCAAGCAGTCGGTTCCCTACCTTATCAAAGGAAAACCAATCTGTTATAGTCTTATTATCCCCTTTTCAAAAGTCAGATGGTTTCAAGAGTGAGGTATTAGAACTAGTAGCTCTCTCTCTCTAGATAACTATGCCATCTTCGTCTTTTTTATTTCTAAAGACCCATTTGGTCTCAATTGCAGTTTTGCCTTTTGATAGAGGCATGAGGGACAAACTTTGTTTCTCTCAAACTAGAGCAACTCTTCTTTCATAGTGTTTATCCAGTTTGGATCTTGTAAGGCTTCAGAGATCTTCTTTGGTTCAATCATGCTTAAGAAGTTTACGAAGAGGCATTCATTTGATGTGACAAATATTGTTTAACACAAGACGATAGATCACCAATAATTTGGTGATGAGTATGGTCTATTGTCCACTTGATACTTGATTGGGGTTCTTGAGTAACAGGATGCAATTATTCATCGATAGGATTGGTAGATGGAACAGCTTGCTCCCCCTCGAATAGATCTTCTCCAGATTTTTGTTCTGGTTTTGGAGACATAGAAGGCGTATATGGTGAAGTAACAGGAGATTCGAAAAGAATTATGTTAAACCCCACAATGCAAAATGTAAAAAGTAATGAAAAACAACAAGT